ACAGTTGAATGATAAGGTGTCTATTTCAAGTTTTAAAATTGCAACCACCATATGCTTTCCTAGAGACATTTTAAGGCCTTGAAAGTCAATTAAATAAGTCTAAAATATCACGTAACACTAAGTCTAATGATGTAGTTTCTTGAAGTCCAGAGGTCCCCTAAACAGCATTTGCTGCACTTGTAAATTCATATAACATCAAATGCCTAATTACCTTCACGTCATTCTGTATATTTCTACCATATATAATCTTCTCTAACAGAGAACACTACCTGCAGAAAACAGTGCTGCAGGATCTTTTTTCCACAGATCAGGATGTGAGGTAGCTTATGTACAGTTTGATAGTAGCCTGAAACGTCAAGATTTCCTGCCCCAAGGTCTTAAGAACTTTGCCTGAACACAATGTTAGTATTACTTCTGCATTGTGGTTTCCTGTTACACCTACATGTTAGAATACAGCAGTATTTGGTTTGCAGACTTATACATACATACATACATACAAAGGTGATGTAAATTATGTAGCAATTAGGGGAGGTTCCTGATGACTAGAGAAACAGTTTTAATGCCCGTCTTCAAGAAGAAGCAACTGAGAAACTACAGGCCCATCAACCTAGCCTCAGTCCCCAGGGAGATTACACAGCGAGTCTTCCTGGAAGCCACTTCCAAGCACAAGAAGGATAGGAGGATGACTGGAAACGGCAGCATGGATTTACCAAGGGCAAATCATGCGTGTAAATATGATTACATTCAACACCAGGTTGACTACCCGTGCAGGTGAAACCAGTGGATGTCATATACCTTGACTTTAGCAAAATCTCCCACCAAGGTGGATAGAAAACTCCAATCAGGGTGCACATTGCTAGTGATGTCCCATAGGTTGATATTAGGGCCAGTACTGTTCGATGTCTTTAATAAAACTCAGGAAGCTCACATTTTGTTTTGCTTGCACACACAGCTTTGTTTTCCCTATTAAGCTGTCTTTATCTCAACACTCAAGTTTTCTCACTTTCACCCTTCTGATTCTCCCTCCTATCCCACTGAGGGGGAGTGAACGAGTGGTTGTGTGGAGCTGAGCTGCCTTGCAGGGTTAACCTACAACAACGGTTATATGATGAAAAGGAGGGCTGTTATTGAAAGAGAAATAACAAACTGGGGAAAAAAAAGGCTGAAAGGAACGTTGTCAAGTTCAATAGATGTGAACACGAAGTCCTGTGCCTGGGAAAGAATAATCTCTTGCAACAATACAGGCTGTGGACTGATGAAAAATTCAGTTAGGTGTAAGAACTTAAAGGAAAGGGCGGGGGGGAAGACGACAGAGCATGAGTATGGTCAAATACATGGAATAAGTTGCCCAAAGAGGTTATGAAGATATTAAATCCGAACAAGCCTCAGCACCATGATCTAACTGCACCTGCTTGATGCAGAGGGGGTTCAACTAGATGACCTCCAGAGGTCCTGTGCAAACCCTGTTAGTCAATAATTCTAATTACAGGTAATATCCCCAGACATAAGACACAAAAAAAAGACTGTTCTACTAGTAAAATCTATTGTTTAAAACTGAGACAAAAATTATGCCTTAAGAACAGTTACATAAATCCAAAATTAAGTTTCTATCTTGTGCTTTGAACTACATAACACAAAAATCCTGTTTAAAATGAAGGCAAAAGCAGCATGGTCCAAAATCATAAAATAAATCCAGAAAACAGTATTTTCTATAATTAAACTTTGTTCTTCAACCAGCTTAGCATAGTCTTAGACAAGTCAATTCATCTTTCTCTCTTACAGTAACTGTTATCTACCTCAGAGAGAGAAAATAACAGTGAGCTGAACTTGTTCTTCCTTTTGAACTGAGAAAACATTCCTGGATCGTAAGATTAATGATTCCTCTCAAGTTGCAACTATATTAACTATGAAAATCAACAGAACAAGAACCCCTTACATAAAAGCCATAGTCATTGACAAATAGCTCTTAAATACATCACCTATCTTCTTTGTTCATTAAGACTTACCATGATTTTTTTTTTTTTTTTTTTTTTTTTAGTGACAGGCACTAGGAGACAGGAAAAAAAGAGAAATTGAAGTGGCAGCCATCATTTCTGCTATTTGATCATTGTATTACAGAAGACTCATGATACATCAACTAGAAATAAAATACGATTTGTTCTGTCTGGTAAACAAAAACTGATGAAGGCCGATCTTTTTCCACCACCCAATATACAATCACTGTCCACTAATAATGACTTACAAGTCAAAGATAACTTAAATAATTGAGAGCTATGTAAAAGCATTTTCAATTTGTCTTCTTCCAGATAAACATTAAAAAAAAATATTGTGGAATATATTCAAGTCTAATTGTGTATTGGCATATAGGCCTTTAAGAAAGGACTTGTCAGATAGAGCTATGGGCTCTACAGGCTTTCTTAAAAACAGCAAACAAAATCCACATCTAACAGAAGGTGTAGTACTGAGCCATAGTACATCCTGGGAGAAAAGTAGTATGAGTATATACTACACAAACACAGAAATAGAACCCATTAAAATAACATAGGAAGACAGTAGTGAAGATGGTCTCACAAACAAAATAAGGAAGCATAACGTAACACAGTTTAAGACTTGAGCTAACTATATTACAATTTTTTTTTCCATTTCCAAGCACTTTATGAATACTGTGTAAGTAATTTGATTTAGTAGCAGATAAAGACTTTTTTTTTTTTTTTCTTTTCTTCTTCTAACAAATTTCCTGTTTTCAGTGGCAAATGCTGCAACTCAGCAGTATGAAATGATGGCAAGCAATATGTTCAGGAAGACCACTCCTTCAACCAATGAAATTGAAACACACTGAATAAGAGCTTGGTAGCCTTTGTTCTAGTGAGAAAATATGAAGTCCTTCATCTTTCAAATCACAAGCCAGCAGACAGCAAATAAGGAGGTGAAAAAACAGACATAGAAACTTTACCTTACATCTACCTCAGATATGCTTCAGATTGCAAATGGTATTTTAGGCAGAGATAAAGCTCCACAAGGAGCAATGATATCAAGGTAAAAATTATCTGATATGAAAAAGAAAGGAAAGGAAAAAAAGAAAATGAAAGGAAACACAAAGGTTACTTTTTGGGTGGATGCCAAAGCAATCATTTCAATTATCTTGATAATTTCTAAATAAAACAATACAAATTTAACCCCAGGTTTCCATTCCAAAACAGAAGAACTAAGAAAAAGTCACAGAGAGGGTATACTTGAAAAGAGATTACAGAACAATGTACAGAAAAGGATTTCTGAGAAAAGAGTTTAAGACTATTTAGGAAAACAGATTGACTAGCAGATTTTGCAAACAACTAGACACAGTTATCTAAGAGACGTAGAGATACGGCGTACTTTTAGGAACTTTCTGAACCTGAGCATTTGAAGGACAGATGCCTAAATACTATTATCTTTTTCTAGGTCAGCAAAACCTTTGTTTGGTAGTTGGTGCCTTAAAGTCAGTATTGGCTGAGAAACACTGTGTTGTCATTTCGTACTAGCCTTAATTTCTTGATAGATAACAACACTACTGCACAGGAAATATTCTAACTCTTCATTTTTTGTGATCAGCAGGGGTGGAGGAGGTGGGGACGCTCAGGAAAAACCTCTGACAAAGAAAACTTTCATCTTAAAGAGCAACTAAAACATGTCTGTGGTCCTAAAGGCTACAAACAAAGCCAGGTACTCGTAAGCCTTGATTGTGTCAAGCTCTTAAAGAAATAAGAGCCATACACACTCAGTGCATTCATTCTGCAAGTTTCATTGGCATGGAAATCATAACTAAAACATTTCCTAATACACCATAACTTGCCCATGTGCAAATCTTGCCTAACTTAAGAAAGTTATAAGTTTTTAAACCAAATGAGTTATTCAATGCTGGCATTATGATTGGTCCTTCTCAGGCAGCCACTTCCAAGTGGATGAGTGTTTACAAGCTCAAGACATATAAAAGCAGTTTCTTTATACAATCCCTTGCTATAACCTTTGAACCATGTATTAGTTTAAACAATTATGAACAGATCAGATCCCCTTACGTACAGATGAGGATAAATGGTACACTAGTGACAATAAGCATGTTCTTAACACAATAAGGTTAACAGCATAGGAAAGAAAGTTAACAAATGTAACACAAGTGAACAATTTATACACTCACTTAAAGGTCATTTCCACTAGGAACATGCTATAATTTTTAAAAACCTATTTATAATTTTGAGAAATCAGAGATTACCAAGAAAGCAAGAGCAGCAGAATAAGTATCAAGCCAGTTGACAGAAGCGAGGTAGTAAGAAAGCCTATTATGGAGCAAGAGTGCAGGCAAACAATCAAGTTGCCATTTGCTAGAACTGCAACAGCAGGCATTCCTAGCTGCTAAAACTAAGATGCCTGTTATTAGTTTAAAAACAAATTTTGGAAGTTTGTTTTCACTTGCACTTTACTGTGTGTCTGCTTCTAATACTATCTGTTATCAGATATAAACAACAAACAGAAACTCCTAGCTTTAGGACATGACCAGAAAAATCTCAAGCAAAGGACATGTAACAGGGAACGCTGCAAGCATGGTAAGTCCCAAGGTGATAAGTTCCAGCGTGAAAGTTCAAGTTCACCTGAAATTAAAACTGATTGTAGACCAAGAATTCAGTCCTAAGGTTTTTCTGACTTTGAGGATGCACATGCATATTAGCCAGAAGTCTCCTGTCATTCGCTAGTGCCAAGGTAAGAAGCCTAAAACATAGCTCCTAACTGCACACTTGAAATAAGTGATGGAAGAGTGGTAAGGTTACCTTACACATGTACTAAACTGAGAGAAGAGAGGAAGACAGGAAAGAGTAATCAGTCACCACTGTACATGATGATGACAAAACTGGGAATGGCTAGGAAGTATGAAATAAGAATAAATGACTTCTCAAAATGGAGATGAAGACTGCCTCACAGAAATGAAGCAATAAGCAATATATAAAATTCCTCCCTTCTCCCACACTTACCCGACTACCTCAACAGCATCATTAAGATAGGGATCAACTATCATCTCCTTTGAAATGTTCCAATCTCCATCCGCAGCAATGATGCCAACGTTCCATAGACCCAGTCTGTCCAAAGATTGTCGAAGTACCTTAGTAACAGATAACACCACTTAAAGTACAGCCTTCATCAACCAGGCAACATGAACATTTAAGACTGAAAACAATTTAAGAACTGTAGGATGAGTCAGTGGAAGCATTTTTCTTCACCCAAGATGGGTAAGAGAAGTTCTCACTTCTGAAAGGAGAGCCATAATGATAACTAAGACAAAGTTAATAAGTACTTTTAACACTGAAGGGTTATCCATGACATTCAGATAACCACTACACAAAAATGGGCTTCTCATCACTTGGATTACATTTGATACCCCATGTGCCTATGTGTACTCCACCTGGACGCTCTCAACATACTGACTCCATCCACTGAGTGTGCGTAATTCATTACATACGAGTAATGGGTTTATCATAGTCAGTCATCGTAAGTTGATCTCAAAATGATGACTGGCTAGAATGTGGAAGTGGACATACCTCCACAAATGATCAGAAGTGAAAGTTAACCTGATCCCAAAAAAAAGTATATTGGGAAAACGAGGACTGAAGTTTTAAAATAGAAAAGTCCTTGTAACCACGCAATTCTCTACAAGAACAGAAATCTTTGCCAAACATCTGTCCTTTTCAAGCAAAGAACACCTAAGCATTCTTTTCACAGGCTTTTTTACTGAACAAAAAAAAAAATCCCTCGATGTTATAAGCGTCTGATATTTAAGTTTACCCACTACTTGGCTCCTCATATGTCTCACTAATTTTCAGGAATGTAATGCATGAAACTGGAATTGCATATTCACAACAAAACTGAGGGCAGTCAACTTTGACTTCAAACATGCCAGCAGAAGAAAATTCCTATTCTGTCTTTCCAGCTTCTCCTTACTATTTCACTGTCAAAGACGATAAATCTCTTACATTTGCCTGTGGAACTTCTTAGACATACTATACCCAGCTCTAACAGTTAAGAATGAACCAGGCTTATACAGGGCTGGAATTACACAACCATGTTTTATCCGAACACTCAATTTAAAAAAAAAAAAAAACCCCACACATTATAAAAAGTATTTTCAGCAGCTTCCACATACAGTTGCATCTGAAAAAGGACATCAGTCCACAGTCTAAAATCCTTGATGTGCTATGTGTTGCATGTGTAAGATTTTTCCAACCATTTGAAGATCAGTAGGCATGAATCCTTAAATAATTTCATGTAATAGCTCTCCAGCAATGTGAAGAAGAATAGGAAGCATTTCTAATTTGATGTGTAGTCAAATAAGGACACAAAGCAAAGTCCAAGTGTTAATGACAATGAAAGCCTGGATCTAAAGGACATAAAACTTACTAAGAACAAGAAAAGTAGCAATGAAGTTCTGTTCAGCTGCTTGAAGCCTTTGAAGCATAAAGTTTACTAGAAGAATAATTCATAATGGTAGAAATACTTACAGAAATGTCCTTGCAATTTAAAGCTTTCTAGCTAGACGCATATTCGGAAAAACTTCCTAACCATACAGATAGTTCAGAAGAACAAAATTGCTAGAAAGGTTGCAGAACTTCCATGTTGAAAGATAAGTATCAAGGACACAGAACTGTAGACACCCAAAATGAACTCCATAATAACACGTGTAGAATGGTTCCCTTACACTCAGTGTTCATGTTTATATACAGATACTCCTCACATTTTAGGGTTAAAGATGATGTTATTTAAAAAATATAATTAGAAGAATAGGATCTTCTTGAATAAGAATTTATAAGCAATAGATTCATCATTTCTTTTTTTCATTTTTCTACTTAATAAGAAACATATATAGCACCTTAGTGGATGAAGTAACTAAAATAACTTCTTACAAGTCAAAATTTAGCAAGATAACTAAGAGCTCATCTATGTCACGTATTTGTCAGACATTACAGAAAATGTTTGGTGTGCAACAGCACACTTCAGTAAATGGACCTTTTTCGAAATGGTGGACTGCAAATAGAACTATCGTGCTGATTAGAGAATAGATGCCACGCAACTGCGAAGTGTAAGAAAACGAATGGTAAAACAGGCCTTATATCAATTAACATGCAGTGGAGGGAAGGCTGACACTTTTCAGTAAATATTTGGGTGATTTTAAGATCAAATTTTAAACTAAATATTTAGCTCTATAAGCCAAAAGCTTAGTCCCAATTCAACAGCATTTAAAATGCTAACAAGTAGAACGCTGTACCTACAGTCAACAGTTTGGTCTCCACATTCATTCTCCCCACATTAGGAAGTCAAGACAAACAGATGAGAAAGCTTCCTGGTGACAAGCCATAGGACTAGGCAAAATAGAACATTTCTATTTCTTACAAGACATATAGAAAGCCAGAAAACCAGTTTTAGTAAAAGACCAAATCAGTGATATAGGGAAATAAAATTAGTATTTTATTTATAGTAAGACCTGCCTTCTCTCTGATGATTCTTTTGACAAAGGGTTCAGTCTCATAGGCATTCCAATCAACATAACATCTACCCAGTGAATAAAACAAAATTTACAGCTTAAAAACAAAAAAAATCTCACTATTTATCTTCCGTCTTACTTGCATTGTTTTATTCCAGCCTGCAAACAAGTGTTTTCAGTTCTGTTTGGTTTTGCTTCTATAACACACATACTGAACAACTAGAGGCTTCTACCTGAGGTCCACATGCACGTGCATTTCCCCCTCCTCCCCTACCAGCATAACTTACCTATGATTAGAATTATCCTTTAAGAGACTACCACTATCCTTAGTGATTTCTCTATTAGCCTACACCCAATTAGTGAACCACTTTTTTTTGAAAAAGAAAAGCCTGGAACTCATATTGTCTGAGGCTAAATATAACAGAAAACTTCTAGTTCCTAAGCATTTTTTGTAAGAGACAGCACCCTATGAACTCATTTCCTAGCTTAAAAAAAATTTAAAAATTAGGCTATGATTTGTGCTGAACACACATTGGGATGGAATATTTTAAGAGGATTCTAAGCACACTCACTGAGCAAGTTTAGACAGAGATTTAAGTAGTTTCACTAGCAAATTCTAAAGCATTTACACATCCACCAGAGTTTTGTTATTTAACATGCTCAAAGAAACAAGACACCTTGACATAGATGCCAAGATATCCTGCTGTGTCATGCTTCAGTGTATTTGTGTTTTCTCTGGAAGGAATTTTGTCAGTCACTCAAAAACTCTAGTGTCAAACCTGCGTCTAAAGTCTAGACAATACCTTTTATTAAATTAGTTGTGAAGTACACATAGCAAAATTTGGTCTAAGATGTGGTAAGACTTGGAAACTAAGTTACTGTGGTGGCAGTGAACCTGGTAAATCAGTTTAAAATACATGGTTAACATATTTGTTAACAAGAAACCCATAAAGCTGGATATAAGGTATTCCTCTTTCTTTGTATAAGGTATACAGCCAGCACAGAACTTTCTGCCAGTGCTTCCTACCCTCCCTCAAAGCACTGCACAAATCATAGGAAACAGCTATAAGGGTATTCATCTAATTTTCCATCCCAGAAAATATAATGTTAAAAAGAAATGTGTTACAGGGGAGCATTCTCAATTTCCAGGAGGACGCAGAATTTTTTATATGACAGCCTCATGAAAGATACTTAAAGATACTTTTTTGCTCTTATTGCAATGTCAAGTTTAACTGTAGTACACTATTTCCTGTAGCATTCTACTAAAACTAAGCACTGAACAAAATAACTACAAAAGTTGCCAAGGACAAATGATGTGACTAACCTCATCCAGTGTACACAAACTAAGAACTGAAACTTTTCTAGTAGCCACTAATTGACTAATTTTATGCAGATGGG